AAAGACACAGCCTATGAAACCCTCACGTTAACAAGAGAAACACAAACCTCATTTCCTTTAGTCCTTCTGCCTCGATGACCTGCAGAATCTGTTTTGGTGTCATTGGAGCATCCGAGTAGTTTTCTAGTACCTGAAGAAATATAAATGTTCTGATTTTAGTGTGCAATTTCCATTTTTGTCCATCAGTATATATCATGGGCTACAATTCTGCTATGAGATATGACTGCTGAAAATTTGGTTTTTCCCAAGTTAAAATTACTTCCAAAACCAAATTACATATGTATCATTCTAGCTGCTGAAAGTGACAATTAGCTGAACTATTCTAATTCTCAATTCTGAAAACAGACATCTTCTTAGCACACACTATGATAATGTGGGGCTTTAGAAACATTGGTTACTTGATGTTTAACTTGATGTTATTAATATGGCTGAACCACAGAATACATCGTGCTACACAATAAAGTATAAGACAAAAATGCATTCAGATTTTCTTTCAAGAGTTTGATTAGTACCTTTTTTAAGGAATAAAGATATTTCCTTGTCTTTATTTTATATTTTAAAGAATTTTCAAATTAAAATATAATTGATGTATAATATTACATAATTAACAGGTGTACAATACAGTGAGTCACAATTTTTCAAGGTCATACTCCATTTACAGTTATTATAAAACATTGGCTATATTCCTTGTGTTGTACTTACATTAGTACTCATATTTTTAAATGATGACTTTCGCTGGTAGGCTGTGAAATTCTGGTGTTCACTGCCACAGTACATTTTGCCATTTGGCAGCATAATACTGTGATTCTATATGATTGGTACAAGCAAAACAATGAGAAATGGAACATCCCATTTATGTTAGCGACATCTATAACTAAGTCACAGCAGTAGTGTCTCAGTGAGCAAGCGGAGCTCTCTCACTATAAGAAGCTGAATTGTTTCAGGCGTGCTACCCTTCTCAGGGAGGAAAGACAGGCTGTCGGTATCTCTGTTCTGTCGCTACCAGTACCGCTGCTGAGGTTAGTCCAAACCCCACTAACATCTTGCAGTCATTTAACATTTAACAACCATAACAACCGAGTACTGTATTGCTCTGTCAATGTAAAGCAAGAAGTGTCACAGGACTGCTGCTGTGAAGGATCTCTCTATGGAAGAACACAAGCCCTGAGCACTAAAGGAATTTAAGTTTTGGAGATGTAGGTGCCAAACTAAAACCCCTATTTACCATGGTCCCATTCTTAGTCTCTTAGCTCAAGTTCTATATTCCCCTTGAGTAACATTATCTCCCACAGCTTCAACTACTACCTAACTTCTGACAACTCCCAAATCTCCACCTCTACCTGGATTTTTCCCCAAGCTTCAGACTCAAATATTCAGTTCTGTCTGGGGCATGCCCTGTGATCATTTACTCTATTTCATCTCCACCCTAATTTATCTACTCAGCAATTCTAACTCATCTCCCTTCTTCTTCTAATACTCCTTACCTTGGATGGCAGCCTCTCGGCATCATCCTTCACTCTCGCCTGTCCCTTAGTTCCCACAGCTGGTTTCTTACCTGCCCCAACACAACAGCCTCTTCGCTAATATCCCTGCAATCAGCCCTGCTTTCCTCAAATTCTTACTCTGCTGCCATCCTTCATTCAAGAAATACATGAAATATTTACTTTATATCACAGACGATCCTAGGAATTCATCAGTAAACAAGACTAAATCTCTGCTTCTGCAGAACTTAAACCTGCTAGAGCCTGAGGTCAGCCCAACAAAACAAACTTGCCCTCATCATTTTCCTACTTGAAAATCCTTCAATAGCAACCTAATCACACACTGGACGACTGAAGCTTCCAGAGTCCACTGGCCACTGGAAAAGCACAGGCTTTAAAACCAGACAGATGTGGATTCAAATTCTAGCCTTCTAATCCTGGGCAAGTTACCTACCCACTCTGAGCTTAGGTGACCTCATTTGTGAGGGAAGGATACTGATGCTCCCTCTCTCAGAGTTGTTTTATAGATTAGAGATAATGTAAATAAGTGCCTGGCACAAAGTGGGTGTGTGCTGGCCTGGCATACAAGGCCCTCACAATCTGGTCTCTATCTGTCTCTCTAAAGGACTGCCAAACTGATGCTCCATGAACTTTATGTTCCAATAACTACATGTAGGGCTACCCAATTTCCACACTCTCCACCCTGCAAATAAACACACACATTCTCCTCTATTTTTTGTCACCAGCTCCTACTTACGGCCTCTCTGATGGGCCTAACTCCTACTCACCCTTCAAGATTTAGTTCGGAAAGCACCTTCCTCCAGGAAGCCGTCTCTGCTCTTTGCCACAAAGAGTTAAACAGAGTCCCACAGTTGCACAACACATGTAATTTATCCTTCAAAGCAGGACACTTGAGAGTAAAAGGAGGAACTACTCATAATTACACCTAGACAATATGCAGGAATCAGGATGTCTATTACCATTTATACATCTATAATGACACCTGCCAGGCCTGTAATAAAATCCTATTCATGTGTCTGGACCTTCTCCATCCCAAAAGACAATAAGCTCCTCAAGGGCAAACCTTATATATCTTTGTATTCCAAGAACCTAAGAGCCATTTTTATAATTAAGCAGTGTTGACTTGAACAAACCCACAGTAAACCCTGGTACAAGCCACTAATATTCACTGCCACTGATATAGCTTCTTTGATACTAACTGTGAGCTGAGCTGGTGAATTTTTGTATGATAATTTTTTTAAGAAGCATGACTCTGAAAAATTAGTTACCAGTTATTTAAATTGCAGTCAGGAAGAGCCTGAGAATCTAAGACAGAGGAAACAAAATCTCTAAAGGGAAGTTACATCAAAAGATAGAAAGTATTCACTTTTATTAAACCTGTATATGCCTCCAGCTTTTAGTGTAAGAACAATTCAGCAGTGTTCTATCCCTAGTCTCTGTGTTTCCAGAGTACACTTAAAAAAAAAAAAGTATCTCTTCTCCTACTTCAAAGGGAAAAAAAATGTTTGATGTAAGAATGGTCAGTCATGAATCAAAGTGAAAGATAAAGCACACAATGAAGAGTTTCTCAAAGCCAGGGAGAATCCATTTAAGGGCATTCGGTTTAAAGGGAAACCCACTCAGCTATTTCTCCCAAACAAATTGTTCCTAACAAGCAGGAGAATTCATACCCATCCAATCCTCTAAACCTCCTAAAGCCTACCTCTTACATCTAGGAAAGACAAATACGAAATGTTTAAAAGAACATCTACTTCTCAACATAATTAACATCTGCAAAAATCAATCCCCTGAGGTTTACTACACTACTGAAATTTTCCAAACGTTTCTTCTTTCTCTACCAAAATAGTTTTTAAAAGGATTCCTGGTATTACTCTAGCCACCAATCTGAGCAAGATCAGGAGCAATATGAAACTGCCCCCAAGCAAGTGCATCTGATTCCACGGCAAGCACTCCAAATTCACCTGTCCAAAGAGTAATTAGATCTAATCTACTGCCCTACCATTACAGATCACTAGAGTCAAGCTTCTCTCTACCCAGTGTAAGCTCTCACAAATTCTCCAGCACTTGGTTTGTTACAGAATTTTTTTTAAATGAGAGAAGTCTAAAAGTTCCCCTCACCCACCAATGGGTCTCATCCAAAGGGACAGAAATTCTAAACAAAAAATAAACAATTTAAAATATGCAAAAATTACACACCATGTTCCCAAAAGTTATCTTTCACATGTTAAGTGCACCACAAAGTAATTCCTATTCATAGTACTATTTTTTTAAATGAAGAACCACAGAAGAGAAAGAACTTACTGGGATAATCTGGCATGAGTTGAGCCAATGACAAAATAGAAATACCAACCTGGATACTGGAGTGCAGATCACAGTAAATTCAAGAACCTAAAGAAGCTTAATAGAACAGTGGACACCAAATTCCTAGAGTCTTTCAACTGGTAAGAGTCAACAGAGCTTTGAGACAAGCAGACTTTAGAATTCTGCCAGGACATAAATAACACAGGATTTAAAGGTACTTTCACCTACCTCTAACAAGGAAAACTCTGGCAAGTAAATTTCCTTTTGGTGCCCAGAGTCATAAACACCTGGGTAACAGAAACTCTGAGGAGAATTTCAATCGACACCCAAGACTCAATCTTGAGGAGAAAAAGCACATCCTTTGGGCTCTCCTCTACCCTCCTTCAGGCCAAAATTTGTTTCCAGGTGAAGCAACACTGGAGAAATCCTGAAATTTCCAAGAGATCCTGAAAGCTAACCAAAGCTTCGATTTGACTAAATCAGAAAAAAATATTTAGGAACTTCAAAATCTTCAAATTTCATATCCCAAACCAAAACAAATTAACTGAAATGCAAAACTTCAGTGCACAAACTAATTGCTATTTCTGTTCCTTGGGCAACAAATGCCTCAGGAAGATGGTCAGGTACACCAGTGAAAATTCTACAAATCAAACAGTGTTAGTTCTTTTAAGTCAATAACTGAGTTTTACAGGCTCTGAGAAATAAAAATGCACACCACAAATTTGTAAAAAGCTCCAATACATCATTTTTTTCGCACAACACCTTTGAGGCAGGAACCACACTTTCCAATAAAATGAAAGATTAGAAGGTTGAGCTTCATTCATCATTAAAACTGAATTACAGCAATTACAAATAAACTACAGGGTGTCAAGAGACAATTATGCTATGTGCACTATAACCCCGCTTTGTGACAATTCTGAGGAAGTGACATCTGAAACAAGTATAACCTGTTACTATTGTCATCAGCAAGATTTTATAAGAACATGTCTCAAAGTGTCTTGGCTTTGTGGGTGCAAATCCAAAAGAAAAATACTTCACTTGCAAGTCCTCTGATGCTTTCAGAACAGCAAATTCACAACTCCCCCCCTCACCAGGCTGTTTCAAGTATTCAAATTACTCTCTCCCTTGCTAAGTCCTCAGTGTATCTTCAAACAGAGACTGTTGATCTTTATCCAACACTTCATGTATACATGCACCAGGACACTAAGGAATAGAGAACACACATATTCTTTGCAAAGTATAACTAGTTCTCTGCAGAGTGCCTATCTCCAGTCTAGCTTCTGAAGTCCAGTCAGCAGTTCTCAAAGTGTGGCCCCTGGACGACCTGCATTACAACCAACCTGGCAAGGTGATTCAAATGATACTCAGACTCTACTCCGGGATCTCAGATTCAGCAGGTTTTAAGTGGGGCCCTAGGAATGAGCATTCCTAACAACCTCCCCAGGTGACCCCACAGGACACTAAAGTTTGAGAACCACGGCTCAGGGTTCAAGCTGGGAGTAAGCATTTCCTTCTCTCCACACACCTGGTTTAGATTGCGAAAGCTCAAAATGCCACTTGCGTCCTTGAAATGAAGGGGCTCTTTCCCACCCCTGGAATCAAACGCACCACCCCACTGCCCACCAGGAAGCGAGGGAGGAGCTTCCGACCCTTCCCGGAAACCTAACTCCCCCGAGTGCATAAACGAAGCTTCCCCAGACCCCCAGACGCTGCCAAATAGTGGGGGAGGGGAGGCTGGGGCCCCGCCGCCCGGAGTGGGAGGAGCCGGCCAGCCAGCTCCGCCCCTCCGCAGGAATTTGGGGGGGGCTGCAGAAAAAAGCGCCACATCGACCCGGCAGGGGACCTCTCCCCACCCAACGCCTTG